AATCCTCGCTATTGTACGAGGACCCGCTGCCATGGTAACGGCTTGGTTGCCCGCTAGTCTGCTCCACCCTTGCCGTTGTAAGGGCAACAACCTGTACAAAGATGGCGACTTTGGCTTCGAAGCCCGCAATACGTGCGGAATCCAAGCTTCCTGCATAAAGGGGGGGGGGCTGCCTTGACCAGGATGGGAGACCACCAGGAGATCCAATGGGCCAACATTTATCGTTTTCCTGATTTTGCAGGTTGGAGAGGGGGAAAATCAAGACCTCCCATTCTCCTGCTAGGCCAGTGTTTCTCAACCTTGGCCACTTGAAGATGTCTGGACTTCAACTCCCAGCATTCGCTGGCTGGGGAATTCTGGGAGTTGAAGTCCGGACATCTTCAAGTGGCCAAGGTTGAGAAACACTGCACTAGACCAAACTCCAGGCGGCAGAACAGCCAATGCAGCCCTGGGTCTTTCAAGGCCTCCAGGAGCCCCAGGCAGGTTGAGGAAAGGCTCCCTTCGGCCTGCAGGGCCTGGAGGAAGACCTCCGGGGGGGGGAGGGGGATAAAGACCCCCCAGAACTGCCTGAGCTCCCCTGGGGGAGGGAGGGCAGGGGGGGCAGAGAGGCTGAGGCCAGGCTCACCAGGCCAGGCAGCTGGACTCCAGAGGGAGCCTGAAGGAAGGGAGGGGGTGGAGGTCAGTGGCCTGGAAGGGCCGGATCTTGCAGCCTCTGGGGGAGGGGCTTGCAGCCAAGGGGGAGACATGGGGGGGCGGGGGGGGTTGCCACCTCTGTCTTAGGCGGTTGGTCCTGCCCCCCCCCTTCCAGAGCCCTTGGAGGGTCCCATTGAGGGTCCCCAGAGGCTCAGGGGCCTTTTCTCAGCAGCCGTTCTTTTGGGGGGGGGGCAGGAGGAGCGGGAGAAGCGCCGCCTGGAGCAGCTGGAGCGGAAGAAGGAGCTGCAGCGGCTGCTGGAGGAGGAGGATGCCAAGCTGAAGGGCAGGGCACCCAAGCCCCCCGGCCCCACCAAGGTCACCCGGGCCCAGATCGACGAGGTCCTCCGCAAGGACCTGAAGGACAGCCCGGACGTCGCCGCCGGAGGTGAGCCGGACCCCCCGTGGGGGCTGGGGAGGGGACCCCGAGGGCCGGGCACGGAGGAGGCCTTTCCCCCAGGGAGGGTTTAACCCTGCCGTTTCTCCTCCCCCCCCCCCCCCCCGGCAGAGAAGCCGAAGAGCCACCTGGAGCTGCCCCTGGAGGAGAACCTGAACCGGCGGGTGCTGGAGGAGGGCTCCGTGGAAGCCCGCACCATCGAGGAGGCCATCGCGGTGCTCAGGTGGGGCTGGGGGTCAGCACTCCTGCGCGAGCCCCTTGCAGTTGGGGACTCTCCTCTCCTGGAGGGGCTGGAAAGCGGCATCTGGGCCGGGGGGGGGGCCTGCTGGGGGCCAGAGGAGAGGAGCCGTTCCTGGGGGTGGGGGGCCTGTGCGGTGGGGGGGGCAGGTGGGGAAGGACTGACCCGGAGGACTCCCCGCAGTGTGGCCGAGGACCCAGACCGGCACCCGGAGCGCCGGATGAAGGCGGCCTTCTCGGCCTTCGAAGAGGAGACCCTCCCCCGCCTGAAGCAGGAGAACCCCAACATGCGTCTCTCCCAGCTGAAGCAGCTGCTGAAGAAGGAGTGGATGAAGGCCCCCGAGAACCCCATGAACCAGCGCCACGCCTCCTACAACAGCCAGAAATGAGGCCCCCCCAGGACTGACTGGAAAACCCCCTCCCCCCCATCGTTCCCCTTCCGCTCTCCCCCCACGAGCCCTGGAGGGCAGGTAGGGCCCCTTGGGAATGGGGTAGGGAGTGCCTCCCCTCCCCCCGAGAGACCGGAGCCCACTTGCCCCCTGCGTCCCAGTCCCCTTCCTGAGCTGCTGGGGAGGGGAGGCCGAATTCCTCCCAGGAACCTCCCCCCCCGTTCTTCCTTGTACCCTCCACCCCTGAAATGGGGGGCAGCCCTGCTCCCCCTCCCCATCCAGCTATCCAGCCCAGGGAGGCTGGGGGAGCTCCACCCCCAGTTCTGCCCTCTCCTGAAGACCCCCAACGCAGGAGGCCCCCTTGAGGTGCAGGCTTCCCCCCCCCACCCCCTTCTGCAGCCGGGGTCAGGATTCTGGGCCCCTCTTGCCCTCCCCAGCCCTGCAGGGGACGGAGCTGGTCCTCCTTTGCTTCTCTTTGGGGGCCCAGAGCGGGGCTGTCTTCGGCCCCTTTCTCCCCCAAAGACCCCTGCCTCTTCTGCTGACCCGGGAACCCCCTAGCAGCCCCCTGCCCTTTAATGGCTCCGGCCGTGGAGGCCCCCTGGGGTGGGCTGGTCTTGCCTTCTCCATCCCCCACCCCAAAGAGAGTGGAGGGGGATTCTCCTGGGGGCCCTGCTGCCGCCCTGTCTGGTGGGTGCCAGTTTTGACCTCTGGCTGTGGGCCTGCAGCGCCCCCTCCTCCCCCCCTTTGCCCTCCTGCCCTTTCCCACCTCTGGCAGCTCCTGGCCCCCCCCCTGCCCCCAACCCTCACGGGGCGTTTGCCCTCTGGGTCACAGAGTGCCATTTGCCTGCCTTGACCCCCGAGCCAGCGGGAGCCGTTTGGGCCAGAGCTGGGCTGGGAGGAGCAGCCACCGCCTCTGGCCAGCCTTGGCATCCGTGGGCACCTGTGCCAGCAGAGCCTCCCCTTCCCCCACTGGGGCCTTCGGAAGACCATCTGCAGGGAAGGCCTGGGGGG